AAAAAGCGGTCTGCCACCTTAATGTTTATTGCAGCTCAATTCACAATAGCTATGACCTGGAATCAACCTAAATGCCCATCAACGGTAGACTGGATAAAGAAATTATGGGACATGTACTCTATAGAATACTATACAGCAGTCAAAAACAGTGAAATCCGGTCACTTGTAACAAAATGGAGGAATCTGGAAAACACTATGCTGAGTGAAATAAGCCTGTCCCAAAGGGACAGATATCTTATGTTCTCCCTGATTGGTGACAACTAACCGAGCACCAAAAAGGAAACCTGTTAAAGTGAAATGGACACAATGAGAAACAGTGACTTGATCAGCCCTTTCCCTGACTGTTGATGAACAACTTAATACATTATCCCTCTTAGTATTTTTTTGTCTGTTCTACCTTATACTATTGTTTTAATTCTGTAATCATTACACAGTTATTCTTAAGTGTTGAAACTTAACTGAAAGGTGATCCCTGTTAAATATAACAGTGGGAATAAGAGAGGGAAGAGATGTACAATTTGGGACATACTCAAGCTGACTTGCCCCAAACGGTAGAGTTAGAAACATACCAAGGGGTTCCAATTCAACCCCATCAAGGTTGCATGTACCAATGCCATCCCACTAGTCCATTTGATCAATTTCTGTTCACAGTTGATCAGAATGATAGGACTAAGAACCAAAGGGATCACATAAACAAGACTAGTGTCTGAAAATACTAACCAATAGAACAAAAAGGAAAGAATGAACCAACATGGGAAGCGGGATACAATGCAGACTCATAGAATGATGATGTCCTAACAGCTCTCTGGCCCCAGAATCAGCCCTTAAGGCATTTGGATCCAGCTGAAAAGCCCATGAGAGTATTTCAGGCATGGAAAGCCAAGACACTCTGGCAAAAAAAAGGACCTAAATGAAAGATCTCTGCAAGTGAGATCCCAGTAGAAAGAACGGGTCATCAAAGATGGAGGTACCTTCCTCTGAAGAAAGGAGAGAACTTCCACTTTGACTATGACCTTGTCTAAATATGATAAGAGTCGGTGAACTCAAAAGGATTCCATAGCTATGGCAACTCATGACAAGAGCTGTGGGGAGCAGGGTCCATCTCCCACAACATGGCGGGGCGCCCGGGAGACAAGTAAGAAGGAGGTACCTTTCTCTGAAGGGAGGAGAGAACCTCCACTTTGACTATGACCTTGTCTAAACAAGATAAGAGTCGGAGAACTCAAGGGGCTTCCATAGCCTTGGAAACTCATGACTGGAGCATAGGGAGATTACTGATGCCATAGACAGGAGAGTCAATTGGTAAAGTCAACAACAGGAGTCACTGTGCACTTACTCCTCATGTAGGATCTCTGTCCTTAATGTGCTGTGCATTGAGATTTAATGCTATAACGAGTACTCAATAATATATTTCACTTTGGTGTTCCTATGGGGGTGCAAACTGTTGAAATCTTTACTTAATGCATACTAAACTGATCCTCTGTTAAAAAAAAAAAAAAAAGAAAAGAAAAGAAACTATCAACTCCCAACTTGACTCTCACTGGGATTAAACATGACAATAGGTCTGATCTGATTTCATCATCATTAAAAAAAATCATCTATTATTTTTCACTTTATGTTTCTGTGTGGGAGCAAACTGTTGAAATCCTTACTTAATGTATACTAAGCTGATCTTCTGTATATTAAGATAATCGAAAATGAATTTTGATGTGAATGGAAGGGGAGAGGGAGTGGGAAAGGGGAGGGTTGTGGGTGGGAGGGACGGTATGAGGGGGAAGCCATAGTAATCCATTATTCGTACTTTGGAAACGTATATTCATTAAATAAAAGTTAAAAAAAAAAAGTACTGAGACTGTGGACTGAAACTAACTCTATGCATCTGATCTCCCACCATATGGCACTGAGAGGGAGCAAACAAATCTTACACAGCTGCTTTGTCAATTAGCTGATTCCTGACACAACCTCTAATTGGAGGAAAGTGGCATGCTCAGTACGTGGGCAGCGGAGCATGGATTGGTGGGAGAGGACTATAAAAGGGGGAGAGAGACAACATGTGCGGCCCCCTGAGAGTTGGTCGGAGAGCTCATTGTTGCCGCTCCTCCACGAAAGCGGGTGAGCGGTGGGGATGCCGCTCCTCCGCAGAGGCAGGGGAGTGGCAGCAAATCCGGGAAGGACAGGGGAAAGAAAACAGTGTCTGGTGTTCTTCCTCCGTGAAAGTGGGGGAGCGACAAAGAGCCTAGGGTGATTACTGATGCCATAAACAAGCGTGTCAATTTGCTAAGTCAACAACAGGAGTCACTGTGCACTTACTCCACATGTAGGATCCTCTGTCCCTAATGTGATGTAAATTGTGATTTCATGCTATAACTAGTACTCAAACAGAATTTTTCACTTTTCCCAGGCCCTCACTTGTGTTCCCTGTCCACAGCATGCATTTAGGTGTCATTCGGGGATGAAGCAGTAGATGGGAGCTCTGTGCCACCATCTCTCTCTCTGTCACTCATATCAAATTAAAGCAAGGCAAAAGCTTCAAAAACTCCAACTAGTACCCATTCACATTATATAAAGTGCAGTTTTTCCCCTCTAATCATTCCAACCATGGAGGGTTACCACTGAACAAATAGGCTCACATGCCAATGTCAGGACATGCTCCTGCCTCCTGCCCTGGAATATTGGTTGATGGCCAAATTATCACAGGACATTAATGGCCCACTATGGTTTCATCAGTTCTGAACCAAGAGATTCATCTAACTCTCAAAACCAGCTGATGGAAGAACTCTCTGTCTCTCCCCCTCTCTTTCCACCACCCTGCAACTCTTTCAAATAAATCAATAAACTTAATAAAAAAAAAGTTAGTGTGGGTCATAGGAGAGTGTGAGGGATGGTCAGGTAGTTAGGTGCCTGACACCCATGTGGGAGATCTGGATTAAGCTCTGATCTGAGCTACTAACTGGACACAGCCCAGTTGAAAATATAATAAGTCAATCTACACAGAATACACTCTCATGACTAATCAGATCCCAGAGCAGTATGGGAGCACCTCAAGATTACTCTGTGTATATTTTTTTCTGGCTCCTGCATGGCTGAATACTTCCTTAAAAAACTTTATTTACTTTTTTTAAGGAATACAAGTTTCAAATATACAACTTTAGGAACATAGTTATTCTTACCACCTAATTCCAATCCTACCACCAACACTCCCACGTTTCCCGTTCCTCCCACTCCACTTCCCAATCCCATTCCCCATTAAGATTCATTTTCAATTAACTTTGTACATAGAAGACCAATACTCTGCTAAGTAAAAGATTTCAACAATTTGCATGTACACACACAAACACACAGACACAAACTATTGAAGAAGTAGTTTTACAGTTAACTCTCATAATTCAACTCATTGAGGGACAGCAGACCTGCATGAGAGTTAGTGTACAGTGTTTCCTGTTGTTAATTTAACAATTAGCACTCTCATGTAATGATGTCAGTGACCACCTGAAGCTGTTGACATGAGTTATGGCTGAATACCTTATAATTTTCTTAAATAACTGACAAGTGACACTGAAATTTTTTCATCTCAAAAGTCACACAGTTTTATTGTACCTCACCCTTTAGCAAACAACTCATGGGACACTTTAACAAAAAAAATTCTCTAATTACTGACGTTAACAGGAGCCACTTAAATGGAAAGGAAACAGACATCATACAGCATTTGCTATAAACCACAGCAAAAACTGAGATGCATGCAGATCCCTCCACACCACCTATTCCTGGAAAAGATTTATACTCCACTGAAGACATGGGATTATAGGGGGAAAAAGTGTTTTTCTAGACAACTTGCTGACTCCTTGAGACAATGGAATGCACGTGGGGAACTGTGACATTAACTTGATCCTTACGCCAAGGATGATGGTAAGAAAGGGGGCAGCTCACACACATCACAGCCTCACAGAGACTTTCCCCCTGTCACTCAGCCATGCAACAGGCCCCACGCCACGGGTTAGGCTAACACTATCAACACATTCTCTTTCATTCCAAGAGCTCCATACTCCACAGTTGTAAATGTTTCTAGGAAGAAAGAGAACAAGAAATGCAGGGAGATGCACTGCTTCCAGGCTCCGGTCCCACAGAAGGTCATCCCCTCCAAGCCCATCCCAGAGACATCGCATGATGTACCCAGAGGCAAAGAACTTCTGGGACACAACGGGCTTGAATGACTCATCCAGGGTTGTTCAACTTCCCACCCCTGGGACGCTGACACATTTTCAGTGACCTCCACATCACAGGTCCAGGGCAAGTTCCCCTGTGTCACCCACCAAAGTTCTCAGTGCTCTGCCCTGGAGGTGTCACCTCCACAGTCCACAGGGCCCCATGGCCACTATGCACATACTTTAAATATGATATCCATTTTGCCTATGCTTTGTAAATGTACATAAAGAATGGATTTTAAGTTTTCTATTTATGTTATTGTTTTAAACCAGGGTGAGACAGAGAGAGAGAGAGAGGAAACAGACAGAGACAGGGTGAGAGAGAATTCCCACAGTTAAGGGGTATGGAGTGATAGGGGAGAGAGAGATCTATCCTTAAACCCACTGGTTCACTCCCTAGATGGCAACAATGGCCAGGACTGTGCTAGGTTGAAATCGGGATCCAGGAGTTCATCCATGTCCCTGATGTGGGTGGCAGAGGCCCTAGCACTTGGGCCATCTTCCACTGCTTTTCCCAGGCCATAAGCAGGGAGCTGGATTGGAAGTGGAGCAGCTGGGAGGGCATAAACCAACCCCCATATGGGATTCTGGCATTGCAGGTGGTGGCTTTCCCTGCTGTGCCACAAAGCCAGCCCCAGCTTTGCACTATTTTTAAATATGAGATTCCCTTTTGCCTATACTTTAGAAATGTCAACAATGAAACTAAAATAAATTCAAATTTAAATTATTTGTTTTAAAGGCAGAGTGACAAGAGTGAGAGAGATTTCTCTTCAGCTGGTTCACTCCCTAAAAGCTCACCTCAGGAAGAGATGGGGCAGAGTGATTCCAGGACCCAGGAACTGAATCCAGGTCTTCCACAAGGGTGTCAGGGACCCTGGCAGTTGCACCATGACCTGCAGCCTCCCAGCAGTCACAGTAGCTGGAAGCTGGAATCAAAAGCAGAGTCAGGAATCAAATCTAGGCACTATGATACAGGACGTGGGTGTCCCAAGTGGCAGTGCAACTACTGTCCCAAACGCCAGCCCTGAGGAGACTTCACAATGCAGCAAGTGGTGTGCATATTCATGAATCCTGAGACCTTAGAGAATTAGTCATCCCCAAAGACAGCCAATCCTTATTCCTGATGGATACTCTCAGGTGTAAGACAACTCTGTGCCAAAACGTGCAAGAACAGAGCAACAAGGAATGTTGTGCACAAAACACCACACACCAACACTCACATGTCACCCATGGATACACCGATATCTGTGTCTTTTACTATGTCACTCTAAAATATCACTGTGGCACCACACTACTGTATCAACATCTTCCACACTGTACTCCACCAACTACTGTATATCACTATCACAATATGTCAGTATAGGGCTATATTGGCCATATCTGTTATCACCATATCTGCCACCATACATTTGATTTCACTATATATCACTCTGTCTCTATGTATCACTGTCACTGTGTATCACCGTATCTGTCCTTATGTATCACTATATCACTACACATCACTATATCTGCCACTATGCATCACCATATCTGCCCTATGTATTACTGTATCTCTCACTATATATCACTATACACCTATATTTGTCACTGTACATCACCATCTGTCACTAAATATTGCTCTGACACTCTATACCACTCTACCTGTCTCTGTATGTCACTATTGTATGTCACTGTATATTGACATATCACCAGATATGACTGTATCTCTTGGTGTATCTCTGGGTCACTGTATTACCGTCACTGGCATCACTTGACCACTGCTATCACTAAATCCATCACTATGCACCTCTTGGGACACATCACAGTGCACTGCACAAGTGTACTATACATCTCTGATTTTATTGATTTGGGTCTTTTCACTTCTTTTTTTAGTTAGTTGGGCCAATGGGGTGTCAATTTTGTTTATTTTTTCAGAAAACCAGCTCTTCGCTTGGCTGATTTTTTGTAATGTTTTTTTGGATTCAATCCTGTTAATTTCTTCTCTGATTTTAATTATTTCTCTTCTCCTACTAGGTTTGGGTCTGGTTTGCTGCAAATTTTCTAGGTCCTTGAGATGCGCTGAAAGCTCATTTATTTGGTACCTTTCTGTTGTATTGGAATCTAAGTCTCCCTTTAAGTCCCTTAACATATCTTTTAAATAGACCGGTGCCCTGTAATTAGGTGCATATACATTTATAATAGTTACATCTTCCTGTTGAATTGAACCCTTAATCATTATATAGTGCCCCTCTTTGTCTCTCTTAACAGTTTTTGTATTAAAGTTTATTTTGTCTGATATTAATATGGCTACACCTGCTTTTTTTTGGTTTCTGGTGGCATGGAATATCTTTTTCCAACCTTTCACTTTCAGTCTGCATGCATCTTTGTTAGAGAGATGTGTTTCTTGTAGGCAACAAATAGTTGGGTTGTGTTCCTTAAGCCAATCAGCCAGTCTGTGTCTTTTAACTGGACAGTTCAGGCCATTCACGTTTAATGTGACTATTGATACATAGTGACTTTGCCCTGCCATTTTCCCAGAGATATTTTCGAGTATATGCTTTCAGCTTCCCATGCTCTTTTACTGGTAGGTGTTCTTCCTTTCCCTTCTTTCATATTGATGGCCGTGTTTCTGTGTTTCTGAGTGTAGCACATCTTTAAGTATCTTTTGCAGGGCCAGGACGAAGTGGCCACAAAGTCTTTCAATTTCTGTTTGCTATGAAAGGTCTTTATTTCACCTTCATTCACAAATGAGAGCTTAGAAGGATATAATATTCTGGGCTGGAAATTTTTCTCTCTCAGCACCTGTGCTATGTCTCGCCATTCCCTCCTAGCCTGTAGTGTTTCTGATGAGAAGTCTGCTGTGAGTCTGATTGGAGATCCTCTGAGAGTAATCTGACATTTCTCTCTTGCAAATTTTAGGATCTTTGCTTTATGTTTCACTGTGGTGAGTTTAATTACAACGTGTCGTGGTGAGGATCTCTTTTGGTCATGTTTATTGGGGCTTCTATGAGCTTCCTGTACTAGGATGTCTCTGTCCTTCTCCAAACCTGGAAAGTTCCCTGCTAGTATCTCACTAAAAAGGCCTTCTAATCCTTTCTCTCTCTCCATGCCTTCAGGAACTCCTAGAACTCGAATGTTGGTTTTTTTAATAGTATCCTGTAGATTCCAAACAATATTTTTTAGATTTCTAATTTCCTCTTCTTTTCTTTGGTTTGACTGTATCCTTTCCCGTTCTCTGCCTTCTAAGTCCGATATTCTCTCTTCTGCTTCACCCATTCTGTTTTTAAGGCTCTCTAATGTGTTTGTCATTTGATCTATTGAGCTCTTCATTTCATTTTGATTTCTCTTCAGTATCACACTTTCCTGTTCTACTAGTTTCTGCATTTCATTTTGATTCTTCCTTAAAATTTCATTTTCACGAGAGAGATTTTCATTCCTGTCCAATAAGGATTTCTGTAGTTCAAGGATTTGCTTTTGAAAACTTCTAAATGTTCTTATCATAAATTTTTTGAAATCCGTATCTTGCATTTCTTCTATCTCATCATCTTCATAATCTTGGCTTGGGGTGTTTTGTTTTTTGGAAGCATCATAATGTCATCATTGATCTTGTTCCCTCGATTTCTGTGTTTATTGCTTGGCATGGTTAATTCTGTTTCCCTCACTGTGAGGTTTTTTTTATTATTATTATACTATGTCCGTGTTAAGTGGACTGCCTGCTGTTGGAGGAGCCTTGGAGGCTTGAGATGGGTGTGGCCTGAGAGCTCTGCTTGGTTCTTCCTGGTTAAGGGTGTTTAAAGGTGACACCCTCAGGTTATGCGTGGTAAATCTCTATTTATTTATTTATTCATTTATTTATTTTATTTTATTTTATTTTATTTTATTTTATTTTATTTTTTGTTCAGGAGGTAAGTAATACTGCAAGGCTTCGCTTCCGGCGCCAATGTGTGGACACAGAGCCCTTAGCATCCCTCCTCTCCCCGCTGGTGTCTTTGTCACATAGACTCCCCTTCCCACACTGGCGCTCAGACTCTGCGGCTCCCGCAGTTCAGCTTCCGCGTGGTGGACGACCCTGCTCTCTCAGTAGGTCCTTTGGGTCACAGTGAATAGCTCCGAAAGAGTTTCCTCTGCAATTTTTTCCTGATCCTTTGTCTGAGGCTACTGTAACTCCGCTTTTATTAAACTAAATTTACCCGGACTATCGTTGCGCGCCCTCACTATTCCGCTATCTTGCCTCCAACCAAAATGCCCATCAATGGTAGACTGGATAAAGAAATGATGGGATATGTACTCTTTAGAATACTATACCGCAGTAAGAAACAATGAAATCCAGTCATTTGCAACAAAATGGAGGAAACTGGAACACATCATGCTGAGTGAAATAAGCCAGTCCCAAAGGGACACATACCATATGTTCTCCCTGATTGGTGACAACTGACTGAACACCAAAAGGAAACCTGTTGAAGTGAAATGGACACTATGAGAAATGGTGACTTGATCAGCATAGCCCTGACTGTTAATGAACAACTTAATACATTATCCCTCTTAGTAGTTTTTTGTCTGCTCTACTTAATATGACTGGTTTAATTCTGTAATTAATACACAGTTATTCTTAAGTGTTGAAAATTAACTGAAATGTGATCCCTGTTAAACATAAGAGTGGGAATAAGAGAGGGAAGAGATGTACAATTTGGGACATGCTCAAGCTGACTTGCCCCAAATGGTAGAGTTAGAAACATACCAGGGGACTCCAATTCAATCCCATCAAGGTGGCATGTGCCAATGCCATCTCACCAGTCCAAGTGATCAATTTCAGTTCACAATTGATCATAATGAAAGGACTAAGAGTCAAAGGGATCACATAAACAAGTCTAGTACCTCCTAATACTAACCGATAGAATAAATAAAAGGGAGAGCGATCCAACATGGGAAGCGAGATACTCAGCAGACTCATAGAATGACGGATGTCCTAAACAGCACTCTGGCCTCAGAATCAGCCCTAAAGGCATTCCGATCTGGCTGAAAAGCCCATGAGAGCATTTCAGGCATGGAAAGCCAAGACACTATGGCAAAAAAAAAAACCTAAATGAAAGATCTCTGTGAGTGAGATCCCAGTGGAAAGAACAGGTCTTCAAAGAAGGAGGTACCTTTCTCTGAAGGGAGGAGAGAACCTCCACTTTGACTATGACCTTGTCTAAACAAGATAAGAGTCGGAGAACTCAAGGGGTTTCCATAGCCTTGGAAACTCATGACTGGAGCATGGGGAGATTACTGATGCCATAAACAGGAGTGTCAATTTGTAAAGTCAACAACAGGAGTCACTGTGCACTCGCTCCTCATGTAGGATCTCTGTCCTTAATGTGCTGTACATTGAGACTTAATGCTATAACGAGTACTCAAACAGTATATTTCACTTTGTGTTTCTATGGGGGTGCAAACTGTTGAAATCTTTACTTAATGTATACTAAACTGATCTTCTGTAAAAAAAAAAAAGAAGAAGAAGAAATTATCAATTCCCAACTTGACTCTCACTGGGATTAAACATGACAATAGGTCTGATCTGATTTCATCATCATTCAAAAAATCATCTATTATTTTTCACTTTATGTTTCTGTGTGGGAGCAAATTGTTGAAATCTTTACTTAATGTATGCTAAACTGATCTTCTGTATATAAAGAGAATCGAAAATGAATCTTGATGTGAATGGAAGGGGAGAGGGAGTGGGAGAGGGGAGGGTTGCGGGTGGGAGGGACGTTATGGGGGGGAAGCCATTGTAATCCATAAGCTGTACTTTGGAAATTAATATTCATTAAATAAAAGTTAAAAATAAAAACAAGTGTACTATACAGACATTATAAAACATAGAGCACAGTGGGTAGTGTCCCACATACATGTGGACAACATTCCCCCAGGAGGACACAGGTGATGACATTTTCTAATCAGGTCACAAAGAACCAAGAGACTCAAGAAAATACTATTCATCCACAGATGATTATTGCATCCTGCAAACTCCCCCTATATCTGCCTGAGTCAGCCCCACTCACAGGATCAGGTGTCTGAGTTGAACCTATGGAAGTCATTACTGAGAACCTCCGGGTCACCTCCAAAGCAAAGCCACTCTGAAGGAGTCTGCTTGCCAGGCCTTGTGACCAGGCTTTGCCCCAGGCCCCACCTGAGACAGAGGGTGAACCCAGCAAACCCACTTGTGAGAGCATGAACTGGGTCTACCCCCATGCCATGCTCTCCCTAGTGCCCACTCTGGCCAGGCTGAGTGATGAGATGGGAAATGCAGGCAAGTATGAGTTAGGGGTGGAGAAAGAGGCCAGGGCCACCCCTCCTCTGATGTAGAGCTTCCCCCACTGAGCCCTGGACTCTGCTAATTCCCAGAGTTCAACCCTGTACTGTTGACTCCCCAAGTCATCCTTGATCCCTTCACACCCTCCCAGCATCACCTGGCCTCCTCTCTATCACTCTCTCCACATTTCTAGCACACCATGACAGCCCCAGTCTGAGCCACACCCAGGAACCACAACTACACATTGTCTCTTTTGTCCACCATCCTGCACAAGTGAGGAAATAAAGCACACAGGGGCTTTCCCTCACTTGTCCAAAGTCCCACAGTCCAAGCCTGAAGAGCAGTCACCAGAGATTTCTCTTTGCCACCTTAGACTTATCTTCCATTACCTGTGACATACATGGTCGTAATAATAATATCAACCTCAGAGAGAGTTTGAAATACTTAAATCCATTCGTGTTTCTTAAAAAAAAAATACTTATCAAAACACACGACAATCAAAACCCATAGGAAAGGGGCTGGTGCTGTGGCATAGCCGGTAAAGTGCCACTGCCTGCAGTACCAGCATCCCATATGCATGCTGGTTCAAGTCCTGGCTGCTCCAATTCTGATCCAGCCCTCTGCTATAGCTTGAGAGAGCAGTGGAAGAAGACCCAAGTTTTGGGGCTTCTGCAACAAACAACGTGGGAGACCCAGAAAAATCACCAGGATCCTGGCTCATGGTCTTTGCTTTGCATTGGTGTAGCTCCGGCCATGGCAGCCAACTGGGGAGTGAACCAGTGCCTGGAAGACTCTCTCTCTCTCTCTCTCTCTCTCCCTCTCTCTCCCTCTCTCAACCTTCCTCTCTCTCACCCTCTCACCCTTTCTCTCTATTTCTCTCTCTCCCTCTCTCTCTCTTTCTGTCTCTTTCTGTCTCTCCTTCTCCCTCCATGTAACTCTTTCAAACAAACAAATACATCTTTTAGAAAAACCAAAGGAAAACACACATGAGGTGTGTGCAGGGAGACAGAGTTGAGGAGAGAGGGAGACAGACCTCAGATGGCTGTCTTCAGCCCAGTGAGAGGCACCAAATCTGCACTCAGTCATACAAACACTTGTCCACTGTCTGCTAGGATCAACAGCAACCTGTGAGTTCTGAAGCCCATCCTTGGGGAGTGGGACCCCTACAAATGTTTACTTCCTTAGGTGCTCTTCCTGAGCCCTAGGACACCTATTGGAATTCTCTATACAAGAGAGTTACTCTTCTATCATAACTTAATAACTCTTTGTTACACTGTCCTAATCAAACTATTTTCTGGCTTCCTAGATGGCCCAAACTGAGTGATTATTTTCTCTTCATGCTCATTTTATTTGTATTTCTTGTACAAAAGTTATTAATAGCTGATGGTGCTTTCGCATAAAAAGTAAAGCCTCCACATGGTAGGGTCTGCATCACATATGGTTTGAGTCATGGCTGCTGCACTTCTGATCCAGTTTCCTGTGAATGGCCTGGGAAAAGCAGCAGAAGACAGCTCAGGTACTTGGGCCCCTGCACCCACATGGCAGACCAGGATGAAGCTCCTGGCTCTGGACTTCAGCCTGGCCAAACCCCAGCCATTGCAGCCATCTAGGGGTGAACTAGAGGATGGAAAGTCTCTTTCCTTCTCTCTCTGTATCTCTGCCTTTCAAATAATTAACATCTGTAAGAAAAGTGTTACTAATATCCACTCTGAAGGAATTCAGGAAATGAATTACCACTTGCTTTACCAAAACAATTTAGAATCATGGTTCCACAAAGTTGGATCATCATCAGGTTTGCTCAGCAATTACGATGTACCAGGTCTAAAATGAGGGAGAACACGTCCAACCATCATTTCTCTCTTATGGATCACCTCAGTCCTATGGCTGATCAGTGATTAGCAGGAATAAGGTTTTTGTTGGCTCAAATGATCCATTATTTAAATGGGAAACAATTCACATGCAACAGTAACATAGTTGAACTTCCTGTTATCCCCCAACCAGCTGACTCCTTTCCTGTTGCCAGCCATCATTTATACACAGTAAGGGCTGCTCCATGTCTGTCCAGTCACAGCTCCTTCCCCTGGATGACTACATATGAACTGTACACTCTCCTGGGACACATCAGGGCTAACGGCAGAGAGAAAAAACTGAGATGCATCCATGGGGAACGGGAGCCTGCAGGGATCAGCCCAATGCATTCAAAGGGGCAAGGAATGACACTGGGACAGGCTCATGCTCAATATCAACTTCTGTGCTTCCTTGAGGAGTGTCAGGTTGATCATTTCTATTCTCCACTAAGTACAGTCATCACTAACTCCAGAGATTACAAACCAGTCATGATAGGGAACATGGACATGACTGAAATGTGGACACACTTGGCCCTCCCCTGGGGTTCTCTCCATGGCTGGCAAACTCAGCTGTGCACAGGGAACACAGAGGCCAAAGAACCATGGACCTGCCAGGCTGACAGGCCAGCCTGTCATGGAGATAAAGGGAGGGTCTTCCTGACCGGGGCTGCAGTCAACATAAAACTGATGGGGAATAGGAATGTTATACCCATTTGTTTTGTTCCTCTCCCTTCACTGACAAAGCTGTCCTCGGTCTCTGCAGTAGTGAAGGGAAAACCTTGGAAATTACTCTATTTCTGCTTAAACAAATTAGAAACAATGGCATTCTCCAAGGAAGAGGAAGAAAGTCTCCAGCGATCTTTCTTCAAACAATCTCACCTCACAGGTATTCTTGTCGGTGGATCTGGACCACGGCACGAGGGTAAACACCACTGAGAAGAACATGGAAGAGCGGCACTTGCAAATGTCAGGAGAACTGTGCACATCAGAGAGCTGCAGGGGACAAATAGTCTGCAGATGAATCAGCACAAGATGTGAGATCCCTCTGACTGCACATACACAGGCCACGCCCTAGGGGAGGAAAGACTGTGGAACTGAGCTCCCACGCAACCAAGCAATTGACTTCCAGGTGACCTCTGAGGGTACAAGGTCTCAGTGGACACAGCTCCATGAAAATGAGTTGAAAACTGCACAAAGGTGCACCACTGTAGGACATGAGCCAAAACACCAAGATCAGTTAGATGTGCGCTATGTGGTTTGCTTCACAGAGCAACGGAGAAGGAAAATGAGCAACCTCCTGAGAGTTTTTAGTCTCCCACACTGTCCAGAATGCCACGGAGCAGTACACAACAAAACATAGAGATGACTAGGACAGTCTGATCAGCTCTCAAAGAAAAAGACCACTGATTGGCACTGAACCTGTCCTCATAGAGGAATGACTAGGGACAGCATCTCCTCTAACCATTTCCAAAGAAGGAAAGGCAAATGCTCTTGAAATTGATGGAAGAAAGTGTTCCAAGCAGACGAAGAATTACATGAAAAACACAAGTTGGAAATGTCAGGCCTGAACGTACAACATACCTATCAAACTGCAATGGATGGGATGGCGCCGTGGCTCAACAGGCTAATCCTCCACTTTGCGGTGCTGGCACACCGGGTTCTAGTCACAGTCGGGGTGCCTGATTCTGTCCCAGTTGCCACTCTTCCAGGCCAGCTCTCTTCTATGGCCCGGAAGTGCAGTGTAGGATGGCCCAGGTCCTTGGGCCCTGCACCCAATGGGAGACTAGGAGAAGCACCTAGCTCCTGGATTTGGATCACCACGATGCGTAGGGCGCCAGCCATGGCAGCCATTGGAGGGTGAACCAAGGGCAAATGGAAGACCTTTCTCTCTGTCTCTTTCTCTCACTGTCTACTCTGCCTGTCAAAAAAAAATGCAATGGATTGAATCAGGGCCAGAGTGTAGAAAAAGAGGAAGGATCAGATTACATGCCAATCAACAGAAAGGTACAAGTTGAAGAACAAAGAGAAGGGAAGAAGCTGGAAGCTAAATGAATGGAGCCTCAGAGATGTGTGAACCAGAGCAAGAGTCCTAATGTTTGGGAGCCTGAAATGGGGGGGGGGGGGAGAAATGGGGGAGCAGTGAACAACAAAATCTATAAAGAATCCAATGGCCAGGAAGATCATCCTTTTAGGAATACAATCCAAGTAGCTCAGAAGCATTACAGGGACATGTGAACAATCCACAAAAAAAAAGGGGGGGGGGAATCTTGAAATCAGAGCCAATGGCACACTCCCAACAAGGGAATACCCACATGAGAGGGTTTGACTTCTCATCAGAAAACACAAAGTCCACAGGATACTAGAACCCTGTCCTCCAAGTGCAGAAAGAAAAGATCTCCCAGGATTCTTGAGGGAACCAAGACACCCTGAAGGATCTCAGCCCCCTATGCAGAAAAAGGAAGGGTGGTGGAGAAGAAGGAATACTAAGAGCAGTCATCAGAAGACCACTTGCCATCAAAATAGCACCAAGTGAATGGAATTCTTCAGGCTAAAGTGAAATCCTGCCCACAGGAAGTCTGGTACATCAGGAGTAATGAAGAGCAGGAGAAACGTTAAGGATTTAAATCACTGCTGGCTGTGTTTTCGCCCTTAAATTCTCTAAACGACATCTGCAGAACCCAAAACAGAAAGCACAGACTCAGAGGGTGAGGCTCTGTTTGTACAAAGGTCACACCAAGGGGAACAGTCACAACAGAGCAGAGGGTCAAAGAATCGTGCGGCCCTAAGGTTTCATTACTCTGCCGAACAGGAAGAAAAGGGACTCTAATCAGATGGGAAAAGCAACAGGACCCACAGTGCTATGCCCAGAACAACTGAAACACGAAGACACGCTCTAGAAAAGCTGGATGTGGGCCGGCATCATGGTGCAATGTGCGATCCCACACCCTGAGGCACTTGCAGCTCCCTGCTAATGTGCCTGAGAAAGCAGCAGAGGATGGCCCAAGTCCCTGCGCCCCTGTACATGTGAGAGACATGGAGGAAGCTCCTGGCTTTCTGCTGACCTGCCCTGACTGTGGTGGCAACATGGGGAGAGAACTGGCAGATGGAGGATCATTCTCTAATTCTGTCATTCAAATAAATTAAAAAAAAAATTTTTTTAAATAAGAGGATGAAGTTGGGTCACCTCAGGATCTAGATCTGGGAATGGAGCAGCAACAGATTGATAAACAGGTCTTTGTGGAAATCCAACTTGGCGTTTCCCCAGAGAACTCGCAGGAATGGAATCTCAGTTATATGGTCAGCATGTCCTCTCCCAGCCTACCTGGCCCAAAACTATGCTGCCAGCACCTCAGGCTCTGAGGGGCACATGCATTTCTGCCCTGAGGGCTCTCTCCTCAGTGTTTCCAGGACAAGGGAAGGAGGACCCACACTGGGGGACACCAATGCGGCCATAGCCTACAGGACCTGCTTGCCAAGAGACCGCTCCTAGCACTCACCCACCTGAGGGTCAGGGATCGGGCAATGGGTCCTGCCCAGTGCCCTGAGGGCTCTAGGCCCTGGAAAAGCACTGAGGGGGCCACTGCACTACCAACAGCTCATGATGCTCAATACAGACACCCTCTGCCCTCAGTAAGAGCCTGGAGGGACACAAGAGTCCAGAGGGGATCGGCAGCCTTTGCTGGGGCCACTTCCTCCCATGTCATCTGCACAATGTGCCACTCCTAAGGCCATCTTGGCAAACTCCACCCCTAGCCTGGGTCCTGGACACACCCATCTCCAGGCCCTGCTCTCTATGATGCGCACCCCTAGCAGCAGGTTCTGTGACACGTGCCCATTCTGTGACCACTAAGGTTCTGCAGATGTGGCATTTTGGCTTTAGCCCTTCGGAGCGATAGCAGCCAAAAGTGCTTTGGGAAGTCTTCATAGCATAGAGACTCACCAGCTTCTTTTCAAAAACTTTGGGGAGCAAATTTTGCCCCCCTCACCTGCCCCAGCAATGGGGGCTGACCACCGACCTAAGGGGCCCCCAGGCCCAGGTCGGGGTCACACTCCCGCCTCTGGCCCTGGACCAGTTGGTCCACGGGCAAAATACCATAGGTCTTACAGACCAAAAGTCAGACAATCCAGTCTGATGATAAGAAAACTCAGGGCCATCGTGGCACTGCTGACCACTCTCTGTGGGCTTCAGACTCAACAACGCGTGTGCTCCAACAGAGTGAACATCGGTAAGGCCAGGATGCCACCACCCCGTAGGCTAGGTAACCTGATCATCATGGAAATCTGAAAGCCTTGTAGGGGAGGTGTGGTAGAAGTGCGGGGAGCACGTGTGTGTGCAGTGCTGTGGTGCAGTGGGCTCAGCCACTGCCTGCAACACCAGCATCCCAAAGGAGTGCTGGGTTGAGTCCCAGCTGCTGCACTTCCAACCCAGCTGCCTGCTAATGTACCTGGGAAGGCAGTAGAACATGGCTCAAGTACATGGCCATTTTGGAAGGCACTGGTGAAGTGCCAGGCCCCTGTCTGGCCAGCTACCGTGCCAGTTGTGGTGGCCATTTCAGGGTCAAGTCAGAAGATGGAAGCTCTCTTTTGGTTTTCTCACTCCCCAACTCAACCTTTACACATAATACATTTGTAACAGAAAGCAAAAGCACTTTGGGAGGTGATGCTGAGGTCACCCAGGTGCACAGCAGTTCACATCCTTCCTGCCTTTTCCTTTCTAGGACCTGTACTGAGCACGCCTGATCCTACCAGACGAACCGGCAATGGAAGGCGGAGGAAGCAAACCTGCAAAGTACATCATCCAATTATCCAGGATATGGACACTTTACCCCCTGATACTCCTCCACAGGAGGAAGCCATGGACATCTCTCCCCCTATACTCCCCAATGGGGGGTATCAAGGGACACATCACCCCCATATGTTCCCTGAAAGGAGAGAGCTATAAACAACTCATCCCTCTCTGCTCCCCTACAGGAAGAAGCCATGGACACTACTCCTCCATACACTCCACCTCTGGAGGAGGAGCCCATGGACACCACTCCCCCATATGAGCCACCAGAACTGATGGACACCACGCCCCCATATGAGCCACCAGAACTGATGGACACCACACCGCCATATGAGCCACCAGAACTGATGGACACCACACCGCCATATGAGCCACCAGAACTGATGGACACCACACCGCCATATGAGCCACCAGAACTGATGGACACCACGCCCCCATAAGAAACATCTTGGGCGGATCCACACCTCCCCATGTTCCACCACGGGAAGAGCCCAGGGATATCACACTCCCAACATTCCACCATGGGAGGAGCCTATTGACCCACACCCTCCTGTGCTCCCCCATGGGAGGAGTCCCTGGACACCACAACCTCCCAAGCTCCACCAAAGGAGGAACCAATGGATACCACAATGCCATAGGCTCCTCCTCCAGTGTAGTGCCTGGACACCACACCCTCCTACGCTCCACCAAGGGAGGAACCAATGGATACCACAATCCCATAGGCTCCTCCTCCAGAGGAGCCCATGGGCACAACACCAACCTATACTCCCCCTCCAGAGGAGGCCATGGACCCTTCACCCCCTAGTTTCCAGCATAGTCCATGGAAAGGTCAACCACGTCTCCTGCCCTCTGTTTTCCTCCTGCTGGTCCCAGGGGCAGTTTTATGCCTGGCCTTCCCATCTTTCCTTGCATCTTCATACCCAGTTTCCCAGCACCTATGGATATAGACCCTCCCGCGTGACCCTTCCTCCCTCCCCTCCAGGACATGGCACAACTCTGCCCCCAGGCAGCTCCTTTCATGGCCTCCAGCTGGCTCCTCACCACACAAGAGTCTTATTTAATATTAAACACCATAATCGTTCTGTTTTTTGTGTCTGTGCTCTGTAGATCCAGTGTGAGAAATGCTGGCTTGTGTGAGTGCTGACAGGAGGTCAGATCCTAGGGAAAATGTTCCTGTGGTGCAAGAAACAGGGGCTGGAGGGTTGGGGGCTAGGGAGTAGAAGGAGCCAAAGGCCATAATGACTCCTCCTGAGCAGAAAAAGCTGTGGCTGATGGGCCGGCACCTGTGCCGGCATAGTGGGTGAAGCTGCGGCCTGCAGTGCTGGCATCCCATATGGGTACTGGTTCAAATCCTGGGAGCTCTACTTCTGATCCACCTCTCTGCTATGGCCTGGGAAAACAGTAGAAGATGGCCCAAGTCCTTGGGCCCCTCTACACACATGGGACACCTGGAAGAAGCCTCTGGCTTCTGGCATTGGATCAGTAGAGCTCCAGCCTTAGGAGCCAACTGGAGAGTGAACCAGTGGATGGAAGAACTCTCTTTCCCTGCCTCTCCTTCTCTCTCTCTGTAACTCAGACTTTTCAATATATGAATAAATCTCTAAACGAAGGAAAAAAAAGCTATGGCTGAACTTAAGGGATGGGGCCCAGGATCAATGAACCCAGGAAGGGAGGAGACAGGAAGGGTCATCCTGGCTATGGCAGCCACCACTTCTCACCTCCTCTCTGAGCTGCAATTGGCTGGATCTCCCCTCACACACACCAGCAGTCTACACTCTACACATTCACACCTGGTCCCTTAGGGAAATCTACACTCACAGCTCAGCCAGAAAGCACACATCTGGCATCAAAGCTCACAGGCCACGAAGAACAGAGGAAGAAAACTCATCGCCCCACAATAACCAAGGACAACCGTAACTCTAGGATGTCACTGATTCCCGGGTGATCTGATTGTCAACATGCAGAGATGTCCTCCTTGCCGCTCTTCCATTCAGATCTGGAAAGGGAAAGCAAAGAGACTATTTGCAGGGGAAACAAGCTAAGTTAGAGTCCCATTTTCCAAAAAAGGATTAATTGATTTATATCTTTTAACCCACAAGTACAAAGCATATCAATAGTCACTCCCAGCCATGCCACAAGACAAAAGCTGAACACCTGAAGTCACCAACTCATCTTGTATCCTACAGAAAAGTGAGGTCACTTGCAAAACACACCTTCAGAAATTGCCTTGACTGTCAGATGCAGAGAATCCCAGCTTAACTGAGCACAGGCCTCTGCTGGGGCTCAAATGTAGGTAGGGAACACAGACTGTAATAGGTCAACTGCTGGGGGCACAATGTGCACATGCTAGAGAGGAGAAAACTCCAGGGAGGGGGCAATCTTTTCTAAAAGAAGAGCTAACAAAGTTTTTAAAAACTTATTTTCATTTTATTTGTTACGAGAGCTGCAGAAAGAGATGGAAACAGCCATACTCAGATCTTCCTTCCTATGGCCCACTTCCCACATGCCTGGAATGCTGTCGTCTTCCTTCTTGCTCTCTCTCACACAAATCAAACCCCAAACCATGCTGCATAACCTGGAAATCTCTAGGAAATACCAAGTCCCACATACATGCCAGTGCAGGTGCATCCTATCAATCTGTGGCCTGGACTTCTCAAGACATCAATCTCATCATAATCAAGTCAGGTCTAAGGAGATAGGCATTGCAGTACAATAGATTTGCCATCTGCTTGGGAAGCCCCCATTCCATATTGGATTTCCTGAGATAGAGTCCCACCATTGCTTCTGATCCAGCTTCCTGCACATGTGCACCCTGGGAGGCCCAGGTGATGACCTCAGTGCTTGGGTTCCTGTCATTCATGTGGGAGCACAGGATGGAGTTTCTGGCTTCAGTCAGGCCCAGCCCCACCTTTGTATTTGGGAAGTGAATTAGCAGATAGAAGGTCTTGAGATCTCATTCTCTCTCTCTCTCTCACTGTGTGTGTGTGTGTGTGTGTGTGTGTCAGTGTGCATGTGAGTGGGTGTGTCTAACTTTCAAAGTAGTAAATGGATTCTATAAGAAAAACATGAAGAGTCTGAGACTAAATTCTGGATGTAGTGTTGGTACAGAAAACAGACATGTGGGTACAGCTAAGGAATTTGAATAAACTGTGGCCTTTAGTGAATAATAAAGTATCAGTGCAGGTTCACTGATGGCAATAAACACACCACACTAAGGAAAGATGTCTATACGAGCTACTTCCAGCAGTTCCTTTATGAAGGGACTTCAAAAGGTCATGGAAAATGCACATTATGAGTAAACTGACACATGGACTTAAATTCTTTCTGCAACAAGGTAAATTCAGCTTTTCTCTCATTTCCTCCCCAAAGAGTCTGAAGTTATCTCTCCTGGTTTCACATTGTGATCTTTTCCTTGCCACTGGGATGCCCATTCACCAAACCACCTTCAGGGCAAATATCTATCAAGACCAAGGCTGGGCCGGCGCCGCGGCTCACTAGGCTAATCCTCCGCCTAGCGGCGCCGGCACACCGGGTTCTAGTCCCGGTCGGGGCGCCGGATTCTGTCCCGGTTGCCCCTCTTCCAGGCCAGCCCTCTGCTGTGGCCAGGGAGTGCAGTGGAGGATGGCCCAGGTGCTTGGGCCCTGCACCCCATGGGAGACCAGGAAAAGCACCTGGCTCCTGGCTCCTGCCATCGGATCAGCGCGGTGCGCCGGCCGCAGCGCGCCGGCCACGGCGGCCATTGGAGGGTGAACCAACAGCAAAGGAAGACCTTTCTCTCTGTCTCTCTCTCTCACTGTCCACTCTGCCTGTCAAAAAAAAAAAAAAAGACCAAGGCTGGACCTCTCAGGAGCCACTCCCTGAATTCCTTATCACTGCACATGCATCCCACTCACAGGAATTACTACTGTGCTCAGAAGATTCAACCTTCTCTCTCATACTCCCTATTTTCCAGTCCCTGGAATAAAGACCTAAGGACTGAATGCTTTAAGCCTCAGACAACCGCACTGAATGATCCTGGGTACAGACATAGGGACATGTCAAAAACAAAGCACCACCCAGAAAAGCAAGGGCCTGGCTTCACCAGCAAGACACAGGGAGGTCTTAGCTCAGCCCTTAGCACTCGATTCTGTCCATCGTCCTGAACAGTTTTGCACCTCTGCACATTTGTCCAAACTCATCTCTACCAGGGGACAAACACTGCTCCCCAGAGCACACAGGAAACAACCTGACAGCAGACAACAAGGGCCACACCACAAGGAAGCTGTCATCCCTGAGCAGCTCCTTTGTGTCGAGGCTTTGCCAGCAATACCAACTTCAGTTCCTCCTCCCTCCCACCTCACTGACAGGAGGGTGCAGTTACAAGTTCAGCTGACAGCTAAGAGTATGGATTCCAGACCCCCACCATGAGATAGGTACTTGGTGGCTCTGGGCCTCAGTGTCCCACACGTCAACTGGGGCTACTAACAGTCTCTGCAGTACAAACAGCTGCTGCCTGAGCTCTGCTGCTCCCATTGCTATTCCCATCCCATCCCCATTTGAAAGAGGAAGGAAGGAGAGGTCCTAAGATCCTGGCTCATGGCTTCAGATCGGCCCAGCTCTCACCAGTGTGACCATTTGGGAAGGGAACCAATAGATGGAGCATCTCCAGTGGATGGAGTATCTCAGGATCACCCCCCACCCCTTAATATTACTGTGCCTCTCAGACAAATAAATAAAATCTTTAGACAGAGATCAAGATGCATCTCTTTTGCAGGATCACCCTGCAAATATCCACAGCAGCCCAGTTGTAGCCAAGCCACAGTCAGCAGACATGAAGGCACTCTGGGTCTCTTACCTGAATCACAGTCAACCAACAGCACCCAGTACCACCTGCTGCCTCCCAGGGTACACATCAGAAGAAAATTAATCAGAAGTGGGACAGGAACTCAACCCCAGGCACTCTGACAAGGGATGTGCATGTCCCAAGCAGCGTCGGGTGCTGTGCTGAAAACCTGCCTCTTCCAATATCTGTGAAGGTGACCCATTTTTCTTCAGTAAAGAAGTGGAAGAACTGAGCTGGCACTGTGGCATAGTGAGGAAAGCTGCCACATGTGGTGCTGGCATCCCCTAAGGGCACTGGTTCAACATCTGGCTGTTCTATTTCCAATGCAGCTCCCTGCTTTTGCACCTGGGAAGGCAGCAGATGACAGTTCTGGTACTCGGGCCCCTGCACCCACATGGGAGACATGGAAGAAGCTCCTGGCTTCAGAAAGGCACAATTCCAGCCATTGTGGCCATTTCAGGAGTGAACCAGTGGATGGGAGACTGGATTCTCTCTCTCATTCTCTAACTCTGCCTTTCAAATAAATACATAAATAGATCTACCTATCTATCTATCTTTTAAAAATACAAACTGGAAGACTCCATGGACATGGCCAAATTGCCAAGATCCTTAGTTATTGAGGAAAGTACTAAGTGTTTGTTTTATTACAAAAATGTCTGGAACTTAAACTACCTTCTATTGACAAAGTATATATTTTAGGTGTATCTTTAAATCCCACTGTCCTTGAATTCTAAATTTCCTCATATCACCAGCAGTGGAATTGCTAGGGGACATAACTACTCTATTATTCAGGGGACGATACTACACACATTTATCCACCTGTCTTTGTGCTACTTAGAACTATTCTTGCTGTGTGCATGGTTGTCAATACAAATGTCTCTCCTTCCTCCAGCTACCTTCTTAGTATGCCATTTCCTACATGGATCTTCTTTTTCTAGCACCGTATTACTGAGCTGATGTATTTCATACAGCAACACACACACACACACACACACACACACACACACACGTGCATGTAAAGCTGGTGAAATCCTGATGAGGCTGAAGGATTTTTAGGGTCAATTTCTACAGAATCACCTGTGTGTTTCTGAAAACAAAGGAGCAGCCAAAGAGAGCAGAACACTCACCAACTCATCTAGCCTATAGAGCTGTCCAAAGCTGATGGAACCTCTGAAGAGAGCAATGAAGACAGAGATCAAAGGCATCTTCACTGGTCGTGGAAGGCACTGGAGAAAGGCAGAATGGGAGAAGCCATGACTCAACCCCATGGGCCAGTGACCCCTGTCCTGCCCCTCCCAGCCCCTTCTCTCCCCCTCCTCCACCTCCTTTGCTCTCCTCAAGATCTTGCACAGGACGTAGCTGCTTAGGTTCTTCACTGTGCCCTCAGCCTCACTGATGCTCTCATCCACTTCAGCCTCTGCACTTCCAAGTTAGGCTGGGACCATGACGTCTCAACATGGGACCCATGTCCTCTGTCATTGTCTGAGGGAGTCCACAGCCCTTTAGCAGCTCCACACACACCTAAATATCTTCTTCGCCTGAGCACTCGGGCCCTTCACTCTGAGAGAGAATTTACAGCATATTCTGACAGTCACAAGCTCCCAAGGGTAGTCAGTT